CGATGCTTTTTTTCACATTAATTAATAGGTGGATTATGTGCAAAATTTGACGCCATTGGGGAAAATGGGAAGTCACCAAATGTAGCTATAAATATATATATATATATATATATATATATATATATATATATATATATATATATATATATATATATATATATATATATATATATATATATATATATATGCATATGTAGAATTATTTATATTTCTCTCTATGTATATATATAATGAAGTTTTGCTTGTTTGTTTGTGGGTTTGTTTATGTCCTCTATGCAGCACTACACCTTTCATCCTATGGCCATGCAACTTAAGTTAAGAATACCACTGGATATATTTCACAAGCACGGTGCCCCAGCAGGGCGCGAATCGATTCTATATATAGATCCCTATATAGGGTATATATACGTAAAAGTAGATTGCGGTTTAATCCCGTTCATCCGCTCGCCATAAAACTTCAGGGGAGGTTATTTTTTTTTTATTTTAACAGGGCGGTGCTTCTGGAGGGTGCAATTTTTCTCTACACAGTTTGTAAAAAACAAAACGGATGCTGTTTGACATCGTTTATCTGAGTGCCGTTAAACTTTCGAGAGTTAATGTAAACACTCACGAGAAGGTTTCTGCGAAAACAAAAATTAAAATTTATTATGGGCGTTTCCCTGGAGGGTGCGATTTTAGTTAATAAACGGCTTGGCGCCCGAAAATCCAGGGCGGCGATATTAAAACTGCATGGGGGCTAAGGTAAAAAAGCAGCAACAGGCGCAGCCGCCGGCGCCCCGGATATTACGTAACCCGAAGCGCCCCGTGCTACCATGTGAACACTATGACGCCTACGTTCGTTTTTTTTTTTTTTAATTTATACACTAAAGACACGATGGGCAACAATAATTTTTGACTATATGGAATCAGGCGCGTCTGCCGGCGCCCCGGCAGGAAGCGATTTGGCGCCCTGAGATATCCTAAGGTTGTGTTAAAGAGCACTCTACAATATTGACCCTGTGGCACACGACATTCGATGACAATTCGTTTGACCCGATGCGCCACTGGCTTCGGGAGGAACACTATGAGTTTTTAAAGAGCGCCCTACAGTAGGGAAATTTTTTGTCTACTGCACCACTGGCGTGTGGTCTAGCGCCCCTGTGTGGGTCCCTCATAAACACTATTGCGCCTACGTTCGTTTTAAAGAGTGCGATACATTATGGATACAATGGGCTACTGTGTGCGGTAGAATTTGCGCCTCAACAACTATGATGAAAGCAAAATAATACCGGCTTTGATTACATTTAAATTGTTTAGATTTAGAAATCAATGTCAAGCGTAAAAAAATACGTGATTGCTAATGTAATTATGGAATCCTCTTAAAATATTGCGTCAGTCTGTCTTCTGAGACCGCAGCAACGCGCGGGACGGGTACGCTGGTTTAATATATATTTCTTCTATATAAATAATTCTCTTCATGGATACCATAGAAAACACCAAGCTGTAAGCGCCCCTAGCAGCCCCCTCTCTCTCTATCCCTACCATCCCCATCCCTACATGGTCTGGTGAGCTGTGGTTCAAGCTAAATGTTTACAATCGTAGAGCCGGGTTTAGTGACAGCTATTAGGGGCAGATAATTTAGTTTGAAACGATTTTAAACTTAGTGGAGGTAACTCAGAGGGGGCTGCTTTCACGAGGAGGGGGGGGGGGGGTAGGATTTTTGGGAAAGGAGGGTGGGGAGGGGGGGGGGGGTTATCGTCCTTAACGAGATACTGATAGTGTTTTAAAGCAAATATTTTCAGTGGCAGCATTGTTAATGTCAAATTCACAAAATATGAATTACTGAAAAGTAGAAAATGAAACAACTAAATAGCGGCGTATGATAGCGGCTCGTAAAATATAAAACACAATGTAAATACCTTTGTTATACCTACGGAAAATAATAATCTGTAACATGGATTCCTGAAATTTTGCGCTGCTTTAATTTTTAACGTTGGGATCCTCCATCAACATCCATACTCTCCTTTAGTATTGTCAGGCTTTTTTTTTCATTTATGGGAAGGGATGATCGGAAAGTGTGACGACACATTTTTGCTTTCATCCGTTATTTCGGGCTTTAAAAGATTGCTTTTGGTATTAATTCATTTATTAACTCAATGATTATCGAGGTCAGTACATATTATAATAAACCGGGAGTGATCTCCCCTAAACTTTCTCGAATATTCTAATATAACACTACGGGGAATGGCAACTCGGGATATAGACATGATTTTTAATCCATTTTAAATACTTACACTTTTTAAAATAGAATAAAACCTCGTAGAAAAAAGAATTGCACACCAAGTGAACGTCAAATAAAGATGTGCATAATAGTGCGCAACATTATTAGTACTTTATAAATTTACGTGCGTTTTTTGAGAAATCGGAAATAGCGTAAATTAGTACTTCCTGTCAACGGAAATTACTCAAAATTTGACAGAAGGTAGAGAATTAGATCTTTTACTTACATGTGAAATTTCATTTATCTATCTGCAATAGTACTCAAGTTATAGGCTTTTGAAAAATTCAAAGTAGAAAAAGTACCACTTTCGGTTATCGGAAATCACTCAAAAGTTTATACGGATCTATGATTTTGATAAAATACTTATATATGAAATTTCATCAACCTAGCTGTAACGGTACTCAAGTAATCGTGTTTACACACAGACACACACAGACACAGACATACGGACAAGATTGCAAAATTATGTTTTTCCGTATCAGTGAGGTGTAAAACGTCGAGATTTGTAAAAAATCTCGATTTTTTTTTTTTTTGCACGATTACACGACTTTCTCTATACTTCGTATATACAAGAAAGTAAAAATGCAGTTTCAGGGGAACGGCGGAGGTGGTTATGTGTTGAGGTGTAGTGTTTTTAAAGAGAGTGGGGGGGGGGGAAGCGAAGATCTGGCTTTTTGTGAAAATTTGTTACAATTAGAGAAGGAGGGTTTGGTGCAAAATCGTCTGAAGAGTGAGTCGTGGTTAATGGGTGACCACTTTATGATTGTATATTGACGTCACCATCATTTTGTGCGGTGGCTTTATGTGACGATATGTAACGAGAAAAAAGAGGGTTGAGTTAATGGCGTAGCATTTATTTTGCATTTTTTAAGGATACAAATAATGAAAACACTGCTTATTTTGTTATACATGTGTGACGACATTGTGTTAACCAAATGTATTGAATAGTAGGACTTACAGATTATTAGTTCTCCCCCCCCCTTGAAGCAATTACCCCCTGTCATTTACCCCCCGCCAAGGAGGACATCTCCCCCCCCCCCCCCACGCACACACCTCTTAAGGTACAGCTGGGGTTAGGGTTATGGTTAGGGTTACGGCTAGGGTTAGGGTTTGGGTTAGCGTTAGGGCTAGGGTTAGAGTTAGGGTTAGCGTTCTGGCTAATGTTAAGATTATGGTTAGGGTTACGGCTAGGGTTAGGATTAGGGTTAGCGTTAGGGCTAGGGTTAGAGTTAGGGCTAGAGTTAGAGTTTGGGCTATGGCTAGCGTTTGTGCTAAGGTTAGGGTTATGGTTAGGGTTAGCGTTAGAGTTAGGGCTAGAGTTAGGGTTAGCGTTCGGGCTAAGGTTAGGGTTAGCGTTAGGGCTAAGGTTAGGGCTAGGGTTAGATTCAGAATTAGAGTTAGTGTTATGGTCAGGGTTAGGATTAAGGCTAGGATTAGGGTTAGTGTTATGGTCAAGGTTAGGCTGAAACCTAAGTCTAGAGTTGGTTTTGGTTATGTGTTAAGTTTTAGGCTGAGGTGAATGCTTAGGGTTTGGTCATTTTTTTATCGATTAGGATTAAGGAAATACATAGGTATAGAGTTTGAGTTAGGATCATAACTTGAGGCCGGGGGGGGGGATTCTCCAGGGGGGTTATTGACAAGGGGTAATTGCCCCGGGGGGTAAATACGGGAGGGGGGGGTCTCCTCCGGGGGGGGGGGGGGTAATTGACGGGGTGGGGGTAATGTCATGTAGCCAGGTCCACTATTAGAAAGCCAAGATTCCAAACTGTGTAGCCTTATGTATGTAGGTAATCTAATCTCATACAAGTTCTTGAAAGCAACATCAAAGACGAGAAATAAAAAGAGCCATCGTTGTCGGCTTATTTAACAGGGAAGTCTTAGTCTAAATCAATCCACGACAATGTCTTTAAGACAATAAACCTTAACTTTGCTTGAAATAACAATATCGTTCTTCATTCAGTCAAACTCAACATTATGGCTTCACTGAACTTTGTCATTGAAATGCATGTGTAGTTTGAAATGTGTGTCTGTTAAAATTGTACAGTTGATACCGAATATATCCAGCCTTTTTCTTCTTCGTTCAGCTGCTTTTCTTTCTGGATTTCTTTTCTTATCTTTTGTCAATCCAAGAACAAGTGTTGTATCCCCAAGATAGGTTGCTATCCCCAACTATAGAGCCTCATCTACACGGGAGATTGAACTCAGGACTTCTCGGTTTAGCAACCACGAACTTTACAAGTTCTTGATTTTGGTATTGGCGTGTCAGTTTTCTTCTTTATTTAGTCGACATCTAAAGTTAAACAAAAACAGTTGCCTACCTCAGCAAAAATCAATGTAGGCCAATTATGGCCAGTGTAGCAATTAGCAACATCAAAGTTGATTTGAATTCCATGCAACACTCATTCCATACTTCTCTAGTGTGGGGGTCTTGCTTATTAATATTATCCTGTTTGTTTGATACTTTTCTTTAACTTAATAATATTAACCATAGACACTTTTTGCCTGGAGTACAAACTGGGTCACAGTATTCTCTGGTAAACAATTAAGTTCTTTTCCAAATATATGCTCAGCTAATAGAAACAGCATTCCTAGATTATTTTATTTTTATTTATTTTTTTTTTTAAAGGGCTTCAGCTGTTTTAATGTCAACTTGTGCTGGGAATACTATAACTACATACAACCCTTTTCAGCTTTCAATCACTTGCATCTTATGTACAAAGTAAGAAAACCAAATACATCAAATTTTGAGAAATAATTTATTTATGAAACAATTGCATATAATTATAAAGCCAAACATTAATATATCAAGATTATTGCAATTATCACCATTTGCAGATTCTTGTTTAACTATGGTAGATGGAAGTATTAGTTGCCTTTTACATCACTTTTCACTTCCTGAAACAAAACAAAATGATTTTCTTAATCATCCATCTGAAATAATAAAATTAGCAAAAAAAAAAAATCTTTAGTTTAAATTAGTTTAATACATCAAAACAAAACAAGAAAAAAGTGATTGAATGAGATGAATCATGGCATAGATATCTATAAAATTTTGCTTTAGTGATAAAGGGGGAAAAATTTAAGTTATTTTAAGTGAAACATAAGCTAGAGAAATAAACTATTAGGCCTAATTTAAATAATTTAATTCCTTTCTCCCAAAACACTACATGTATCCTTAAAATAAGAAAACTTAAAATTTATCAATATTTACCTTGTGTATAAACTTTTCTGTACATCTACTGTATCAGCTTGACGCTCATTAGGTATGCCTAGTTCCTGTTGAGCAGTTAAGACAGATTAAGTAAATAATTCAAATTTGTAAGACAAACCACTAAATGATACTGTTTTATATATATATATATATATATATATATATATATATATATATATATATATATATATATATATATATATATATATATATATATATATATATATATATATATATATCCTTCCTGCAAATCAGCATATTTTGCAAAACAAATATTTAAAAAAAATACATAATGATATTGTATCAATCATCACCACTGACTTGGTTTTACTAGGTAAAATATTTTTTTAAATACAATATTTATACAAATAAAAATCTATCTCAATCAACATGTTCAAAATAAACCAAAGCAAACTTGTGATAACTTACCTGATTAATGTTTGAGAGGATTCACCCAGTTCTCGCCACTGAAGCAGATTAGATGCATGTGTTATTACACTTGTGATATACTGATTGCCATTTTGTGTACTTTTAGTCCTGGAGATCTATGTTGTAGGCATAGACTGTTAAACCTGGATAGTAATATTATAGAAGTAAATTATATCTAGTATAATATAAATATTTTAAAATATAAATGACACTAAATTATATTTATCATTATTGGAAATAAAAATGGTACAATTAAGTTATAAAAAAACAAATTATAAAATTTAAAGCAGCTTATTAATAATTGTCATACCTTTTCCTACTTTTATGTCAAATGTAAGAGGTAATAGAGAAAGAACATCTTGTGTCATTTAGTATGCTGTAGTCTTATTACTGGTAAAAATCAGATCTTCCCTTTTTTTTGGATGAACCTGTAAAAGAGAAATTACAATATGGATAAACACAATGAATATCATATCTAATCCTCAACTAGTTATCACCCCAATCCTAACCTCATTTTTTAAAACCAATTTCTAAATATGTTTTCAGAACAAATGTATGTTAAGTCTACCTATTTTAATGTTCAGAATACTAATATTTATCAAAACTACCTCCAGTTGAAATTCAAGATACCTTTATAAAAAGTTATTATGACTTTAACTTTGTGTAGTTGTTATTTAGGCTATTTGTTTAATTTATATTATTTAAATTAATATTTCATGCCTTGTTTTAAAAAGATCTACAAGTCTACTTTTGATTTTATGGTATAATCTGATAAAAATTAGGCTGCTACATCTGAAAACTAAGGTCAATGCAAAGACTTCCAAATTAACGATAAGTAGGCTTGTATAGATATTGTATATAATTACTAGCCCAATAGTATTACTCTACGACCAATGTATAGGACTTAATGTATCAGACCTAATTCCTATAATTAGGCCTACTAATTATTAAATAATTAATAGATCTAACAGTAGGATAATTACAATTATGGGCCTTAGCTGACATAGAGAGCTGAATACTTCACTAAACATTTTTAAAAATTATAGTAAGCTAAGTGAGTTGAATTATTTTATTTAGATAGGCCTAGGCTATAATATACTCTATAGCAGTCTATAGTGATAGTCGCAGAGTAGCGTATATCATAATAATTTCAAATTAAATCTATAAGCAACATTAAGCCTCTGCCTTGTTGCCTAATTAAAAACTAAAGCCTATTAAGCCTTTTCCTAATAAGCCTTTGGCCTAATTTAAATAACAGCCTATAGGCCCTATAATATATAAATAGGCTAAACTACTTGTAAGACCTAATAGACTAATGACTAAGAGAGTGCTAGGCCCCTTTACGATATTATATAATAATTGCTTGATCAATATCATAATATCTAACACTGATTACATTAATTTACATAAGGCTATACCATCTTAACTATGACTAATACTTTTTCTACTAATAAAATAGGCTATCTCTAGTTTAAACTTAGGCCTAATAGTAATTAGTAATTATAATTAAGTAGGCCATTTTATGACATTTATAAAATTTTTAGTAGATGGCCGAGCCTTAAATTTAAATACTAAAATAGATTTAGCATACTATGCCTATTGTTGGTCTAATTAATAATTTATTTTTCATTTAGAATTTTAGATCTCCAAAAGATAGGCCTAGGTCCTAAATAAATTATTTTTATTTTATTGAGCCCGCCTTAATGTATAAGATGTGATCTGTTTTTTTTAATAAAAATAACCCTACACAATACTAGTGATTTAACTAATATCTAGTACTACTTTAGGCCTATTTAATTATTTATTAGTAGGCTGAATAAAATCTAAAGCTATAAGGCCTACTTTATTACTATATTTGCCTATTATTCTATAATTAATTTATGTTTTCTTTCAATACATAGTAGATCCTGTAGTACCTCAACATTCTAGTGCCTCGACATACCAGATTTTTTAAATATGAGCAGTTGAGCGAGTAATATTTCGCTTTAAGTTACGCGCAAAATTTGAGATACCATATTTCACAGTTCATGTAAAAGAAATACCCCCAAAAAGATGCAAATGATTATTTATCGCAGCTATTTAATTATAATAATAAGCGTCTTACTCATATTTGCAGCATTATGAAAGGGAGAAAGAAATAAACTTCCTAAACAAGTTTTATTTTAAGCTACCAGCACATGAAAGCTAACGTAATAATTTTATTTAGTATTTAGGCCTTACGCTTACGTTTAAGTCTTAAGTGCAACAATGCTCAGTGAATTTTAGCCATTAATGGCATTAAGTTTAGGAATGATGTGTACTTGTGTAGCTTTAACTTTAGTATATTTATAGACCTAAGCCTAATCTTGTAGATATAGATCTACAAACAATTTGAAATAGAAGAGATTTAAAATTGAGTAGATCTAGATCCTAAATGCTAAAGGACAGCTATGCCACAGAAATAATTATCTTTCTATCTAGTCAATCTAGACTAGATCTAGAGTGCTACTGAAAAATTACTAGATTTTCTAGATCTAGGTTCTATCATTTACTTTCGACGCACTAGGCATACTTTTAACTTTTTCTCTCTAGTCAATAATGTAGATTTCTAGATCTAAATGTAAATCCTGATCTTGTAGATATGATTTACCTAGGTTTTACATCAGTGTAAATCGTTGATCAAGTAGATCTAGTCTAGATCTGGACTAGCTCTCGTCAAAACAAAATGGCTGGAATATTAGCTTCAAAACACCTACAGTTTATGCTTTCCTAATTGTGGAGAGCATGTTTAATTATTGTTTTATTTTCAACGACAGTGTTGACTGAGAAACCACCAAAGGGTTTTATTCTCAACGACACAGTCGGAGAGAGGCTCAACGATTCTGTCGTTGAGATGATCCGCATGGGGTGTCTAGAAAATCAAATTCTACCAGTTTAATAGTTTCTAATATCGTTGTTCATTTTAAATGGTAGTAAAATAAAACATTAAATTTGTAACGACAAAAAAAATTAGGCTTGCCAAGGGGGAAAAAACATGGCAAAGCAAAACTGGTTTCTTTTGTAGGGACTCGGTGGCATGAACACATCTCTACTCACATAGGTAATCAAGCGTGCACGTGAGCTAATTGGTGTCGCCTGCCGCTAATCAAGCGAGGAAGACAGACGCGACACGAGGGAAGGGAAATAACCGAGGTCTCACAGCCAGACAGGAACGATAATCCTTCTTGGCTGGAATCTGGGAGAGTTATACGGGGCTTGTGCGTAGGAAATAGCAGCACTACGTCGGTAAACAATTAAAAATAGACACAAAATAATCCGGGCCGTCTTTAGATGTGGGGTTAGTCGAGACTACAGTCTACAATAGCAGTTTGTTTTCGTAGCTTCAGAGACAGGAGATTAACATATCAGCTTAGGTCTTAATTTAGGTAAATGGACAAAAAGAGTGTATACGTGTGTGCCAGGGGGAGGTGCTTGGAGTAGCCCGTGTGGACCGGGGTGAGGGCGCGTCACTGTCAGCTGCCTGCTATAAAATACATAGACCACAATAAGGACCACCACAAAGTACAGAGACTATTTCCAGCATTACCATAAGGTCCAAACACCATCAATAGGTCTAACGACCAGTACACAGTCTAAACACCACCACACAGTCTAAACACCACCACACAGTCTAAACACCACCACACAGTCTAAACACCACCACACAGTCTAAACACCACCACAAGGTATAAACACCACCACACAGTCTAAACACCACCACAAGGACTAAACACCACCACAGGGTCTAAACACCACCACACGGTCTAAACACCACCACAAGGTATAAACACCACCACACAGTCTAAACACCACCACACAGTCTAAACACCACCACACAGTCTAAACACCACCACACAGTCTAAACACCACCACACGGTCTAAACACCACCACACAGTGACCAAAGACCATCAATAGGTCTAACGACCAGTACACAGTCTAAACACCACCACACAGTCTAAACACCACCACACAGTCTAAACACCACCACACAGTCTAAACACCACCACACAGTCTAAACACCACCACAAGGTATAAACACCACCACACAGTCTAAACACCACCACAAGGACTAAACACCACCACAGGGTCTAAACACCACCACACGGTCTAAACACCACCACACAGTCTAAACACCACCACACAGTCTAAACACCACCACACGGTCTAAACACCACCACACAGTGACCAAAGACCATCACATAGGGCCCAATGACCACCACAAGGACTACGATTTGTCACCACTCACTGACCATCGTTCAGTACCCCCCTACTTCTCATGTCCAACACCCCCCCCCCCCCCCCCCATCACGCTGACCAGTACAACTCCACACATTCGAACCGTCTAGCCAAGCATGTTATCTACACCAAAGTGAGCGCCTAATTCCATTACCCGTCCCCGCCTCACGCACGCATGACATCAACATGCTCACGTTCCCCGGATGTGAAGCATGTTTGAACTAACAACACTCAACTCAAGTTTTATCTCCGCTACAATTACAACCTGCCATTTAACACCACACACACATACACACACGTACATACAAAAACACAAAATTTCAAGAATACGTGCACACACATACTCACACTTACATACACCCACAACCACAAGAATACGCGCACGTACACACACACACACACACACACACGTACATACACACAATTACTAGAATACGCGCGCGCACTCACACGCGTACATACACACACAAGTACAAGAACACACGCGCTAATACACATACACTTACGCATACACACTTCATTCCTCTCCTGCTAATTAAAAAGTTGAACCAAAAAAAAAAGATGTGTGTGGGGTGGGGGAGAGAAACAAAACCACACCCATTATCTTTCTGTTATCTCCCCTCAAGAGGCGCTGCTTTTGCCACCTAGCCAGATCGAAGCGAAACCAAAAGATTTTGATATTTCTGTGTCACCCACGCGCCTCGCCTTTTAAAGACACGTGCGATCGGATGAAAAAATTCAATTAACAGCGCGATTGGCTAAATATGAGAAGTGAAAATTGAACCCCGTGGCACTCCCCGCCTCATATTTTATTCATTTCCCGACCGGGGAAGATTCAATTGGAGGTATCCGTGATTTCATTTCTTTCAACCATCTACAGAAGGGAAACAACCGGGGATAAGCAAAGGGAGACGAGCACAGAAACAATTTGCCCAGCACCCGTCTTTGCCTTGTTTTAACTCCCTTGCTGGAAAAAAAAATAAACCCACTAAAATATTAGTGGGCATTGATTCGCCGAGCAGGATATGATTCAGCGTCTAAAAGGCTAAAACAAATTGACAACTTCAAATTTAGATCAGGACATGAAATTTTAACAGCGGATAACCCTGTTGAATTTCAGCTCACACCGATATGCTAACAGAAAATAGTGCGCGCGTTTTAATCTCTGGCAGTGAATAGCATCATGCGGATATTGTGATAATAGAAATTTGAAACTTGACATTTAAGGAATTCAGTTTACAAAACCTTTCGTTGCAAAGGTTTCAGATAGACGTAATTATAAGGCGATGATGTCGAACTTTTTAATCAGATACAAAGTTTCATGTTTAGACAAGTTTTCGAAACGTTGAGTTTTATTTCTGCCTTGTTACCTATACTCAAATGTTTGCTTGTATTTTACTTTAAAATGTATCTTACAAGAAGGCAGCGAGATATTATGTCTAGCTTGGGTAGGCAAGTAGGGGGTTGGTAAAAATTTGGTGTCGAGATTATTATCCGGGAATGAGAAACTACTTTTCTTGGCTATCATTTGGGAAAATTTAGGCTATTTGCCTTTCTAGATACCCACATTTCTAGTTACCCAAATTTTTAATTACCCACATTTCTAGCTACCCTTATTTCTAGTTACCCACTTTTCTAGATACCCACATTTCTAGTTACCCACATTTCTAGCTACCCACATTTCTAGATACCTAAACTATTCACACCGCAACACTTTTCCCGATCGTACAATAAACATTTTCCTCAATTTTACAGTAAACATTTTTCCCAATTTTCCAATAAACATTTTTTTCAAATTTTCCAATAAACATTTTCCCAATTTTACAATAAACATTTTCCCAATTTTACAATAAACATTTTCCCAATTTTACAATAAACATTTTCCCCAATTTTACAATAAACATTTTACCAATTTTACAATAAACATTTTCCCAATTTTACAATAAACATTTTCCCAATTTTTCAATAAACATTTTCCTCAATTTTACAATAAACATTTAAAGCAACATATACCACACATTGTTAGATGAAGTCATGTTTATTTTCATAAAGTATCTTCTAACATTTCAACAAGGGGCATAACTCGGATGTAGTAGTATAATTTTTAACACCCCAACATTTTCATGCTTTATTTTACAATTTTCCCCACAGTGCCAGTGTCCGGTTCACACGGAGTCAAGCTGAACACCACGGAAGAGACAGTTACGGTTGTCGCAGGAAAGCGAGCTATCCTCCCGTGTTCCGTGGATTCCATAGCAGACCTGAATGTGAGAATAAAATCATTTTTACCTCTCTTCGTTTGTTTTGAATACCAATGTCATCGTCTTATGAAGTTTTAATTCCAACTCTAAACCTAACTTTAAAATATTTTCTTTTTGGATGAGATTGGCACTTATTAAGGTTATTGAAGCCAGTAACAGTATCGCTTTCATTAGATTACTGTTGTTAAATCCCTTTAAGCCATCTGTTCTCTCCCCTTACCAATTTAGTCGTTCCGAAATAATTGACAATTATTTTAGATTAAAAGTTATTATTCAAGTTTTTATTATAATTATATTATTTTGATAATTCTTTATCCCTAATTTGTTTTTAAATTTTTATTGGTTTATTATTTACAAAAAAAATTGTTGGTTTATTATTTAAATAACAACAACATGTTAACAAGCTCTCCTCAGTAATTCGACACGAGCCAAATATCCCTCTAAACCTTACTATTCTTTATCCATTCATTTTGTTTTAGGTTTTCAGAAACGAATATAAGGTAAAAAATCTGGCCACTTATGCTAGTCTATTGCTCTCCTGCATGCCAGCTTGCTTCTGTTGGAAACCTTAACCTTTAACCTTTAACCTTTCTTCCTCCTAGACAACTCCACCCGTGTTTGTGGGTTTTCCGTACACTAATCAAACTAATTTTAATTAGGGAATGATATAGTGTTGTGCATTGTCCATCTTAAAATAGATTACGATTTACTATTGTACGTTTTTTTTTTACCCATCTTCTAAAATAATAAAATACTACCATAAAAAAAGTATTTTGCTGTATTTTGACCTGCTAATGAAAAAAAAACTAACAGACACCAATGATAATTAAGTGCAGGGCATATGGGAATGAAAATATTGCGCAGAACAAGTTTTCTAAAGATAGAAACATAACAGTTTACCAGCCGCTATAGAGGTGGTATAAATAATAGTTACAGATTTAAACGGTTTTTATGTTACCGTCAAAATTATGTTTTCTTATATAATAAAACATATTTTCTTATATAATAAAACATATTTTATTATTATACAAATACTTGCTTAGTGAACCTTTCAAGGGTAAAAGTTATTTTTTAAAAAAGCGTAAAGTTGAGATTTGTGGAATAACTATTCTAAAGATAGGTCAGTGTTTATTATTAGATTAGACTTGAAGCAAACTTCCTCCTGAGTGACGTCAGAACGCCTGTCCTCCCCTCCTCTTGGAAGGGCGAGATGGAAGTTTCATGTTGTGAAGTGAATCTTAGCCGGTCTCGTCGACTAAGTGTCGGCCATTCTCTGCTTGCTATTGTTGACTTTGTGTCTGCTGGAAACAAGTTTTCTTCTCCAGTTGTGTCCGTTAATCTGATCATGTCTTGTAGCTTTTCTATACTTTTTTTGTTCTCTTTGTTTTAGAAAGAAAACTGAATTTTAACCATATTTTTTTTTAAAGCAAAGACTGCACTAAAATAGAATGTAGAGATTTTTAAGCTTTGAAAACAATAATTTTAACCTCATGGAAAAATATGACGGGAGAAATCCTGTTTGTACATACTTTTTTTTTTTATAAATAATTTCAGACTTACTTATTGATTTTTTTCAGCTTTGCTGTATCCTATTTTTAGATTTCAATTAATACAACATCTGAGTAAAAAAAAAAAGAAATGTGATATACGGAATGAAATATTGTTCTTTTAAAATCTGCAGAGAATATGTTACTTTCAAAATCGTGATTTCTAACTATTTTACTAAAACATTTTGTATGCATTACTACAAATAACATGCTCTCTCAACTGTATATATCTAATTTAATGAACAAATTCAATAAACAAATTCAATGGGTGCAACAATTATGAACTTTTCAGCTTTGTCAGTAGAAAAGCGTTCAGTCATTATTCATATTCAACAAAAAACAATCTAAGCGCCAGTATTTAGATACAGCTGACAGACAGACAGTCCATGGACCAGACTTGTGTCCAATGTTTCAGAGGCGTAGCGATGGGGGGCAGGGGGGACAAAATGGGTTGGAAAAAGTAATCGAAAGTTTGAGGGGGGGGGGGTGCAAACCGAAAGTTTGAGGGGGGGGGAGGGTGCAGATTAAAAGTTTGTCCCCGGGCGCCGGGAAGGGTCGCTACGCCTCTGCAAATGTTTAGAACTAAAGAAAAGAGATCCTTTTAATGTGTTCACTGGCCGGAACAGTACAGGTACAGTCCAGTAGTAGCAGAGGCAATGTGTACCAATACGGGAGTCACGTGTGTGAGTGAGGACTTATGTTCCAAATGTAGGCTAGCGCAGTTTAGGGGGCCAATATTCCAGATTTGAAGTAGGATGTCCTTTTGTAGGTGCGAATGCTCTAACCTACAAATAGGGTGTAACCCTCTATGGCTAAATGTTCGAGGTATGCTGTCAATTATTGTGGGCCAACGATGAGGGCTAGAGGCAGGTTGTTCGTGTTTAGGCTTATGGAATGCTGTTGTATGTTCATTCGGTCAATGGTAAAAATCTGGCAAATTTATGTAGACGCTGAGGTTAATTATAACTTTCAACACATCGTAATCATCGTATTTATATTAACCTGCCCACCCCTCACGTATATAAAAGATCCTTTGGGAAGATGAAGTAGAGATTATACATTTCTTGAACTAGGCACACGAAGGGAAGGTGTAGTCAGCACTTTGCCCAACCGCCTTTACTTTCTCTAACATAAGTTAGGTACTCATTAGAGCTGGGTGGACTCAGGGACGTCCTACTGACTTGGACCCGGATTCGAACTCCATACTTTCGGGCTAGCAGCCTAGCGCTCTACCTCTTGTGCCATGCCGTTCCAGGTTTTCACTGATGTTCTCATAGCTAAATTGATGCTTTGTCCTACACTAACTTTCCCACCCGCATGAATGGAACAACCCACACTAACCTACAAACTTAAATGGAACAACCCACACTAACCTACAAACTTAAATGGAACAACCCACACTAACCTACAAACTTAACTGGAACAACCCACACTAACCTACAAACTTTAATAGAACAACCCACACTAACCTACAACCTTAAATGGAACAACCCACACTAACCCACTCACATGAATGAACAACCCACACTAACCTACACACTTTAATGGAACAACCCACACTAACCTACAAACTTAAATGGAACAACCCACACTAACCAACATAACGACAATGAAACATTTCACGAGCGTAGATTGTCACTAACAAGAAGTATGATTGTTTGATCTAATAGACAGGATTGTTTGACTTTCAATAGAGAGGATTGTTTGACTGTCAATAGAAAGGATTGTTTGACTGTCAATAGACAGGATTGTTCGACTGTCAACATACAGGATTGTTTGACTGTCAATATTCAGGATTATTTGATTTTCAATAGACAGGATTGTTTGACTGTCAATATTCAGGATTGTTTGACTGTCAATAGACAGGATTGTTTGACTGTCAATAGACAGGATTGTTTGACCTGAGTTTGCTCTGTGAAAATCCAAGCGATTCCTTATGTGTGGAAAATGTCTATGATTGTAATATAATAGCAGCTTCAATAACAATGCGTATGATATTTCGACCCAGTAATGCAAACATGTTTTAATGAATACATTTCTGCTTAGCATTGTTTAAATAATGAATGTCATTTTACGTAATAGTTTTACCTCTATAATATAAACTTTTTTAACGACGATATTCAATATTTACAATTTTTGTAAAAAATAAAAAAAACATCTTCACCGTGTATTTTACATAGTTAACATGTCACATAAAAAACGGGATAATTATCTTTGTAAATAATTTTTTTAAGTTGTACAATAACGTACGTCTTCAGTCCTATCTATCTAGAAAAGTGGTTAGCATAAAATGTAAAATTAGTAAACAACTTTTAAAGTAACAAGCTTTTTAATAAAAATGCACTCTTAATAATAAAACAATAAAAACAGGCGTATGATTATTTTTAGCGATAATAGTTTAGTTGCAGATTGGCTGCTTTAGTATTTTCTTCAATACGTTTGACCTGAAAAACTTCAAAAATAAAATGTTACATAGCACATTCGGACCTCGCGAACTGCTGTATAAGGAAGGCTGATTACTTGTTAAAGTTTTCTCTATTCACATTACTAGTATACGGATACCATAATTCGATTTGCTGGCTCTATGCTTAAGAGTCAAGAGTCAGTTCCAATAATTTCAGGCATCACATCAGATATTTAACATTAAATGACAAGTGATGCTAAATGTCACAATAGATCATGTCATTTGATCTCCGTTTATTTTATAAAAGTTCTATATACAGAAAAAATTAATGGGCCGATGTCGACAGTTACTTATGATCACCCATAGCACCAGGGGCGTAGCGAGGGGGGGGGGGGAGCGGGGGGTGCGGATCGCACCGGGTGACACCATTTAGGGGGGGTGACACCAGGGCAAAAAATAGCAAAATATATAGAGAAAAACTTGAGCGGGGGTGCAAATCGAAAGTTTGAGGGGGGGGGGGGGGGGGGGTGCTAATCGAAAACTTGACGGGGGGGGGGGTGCAAATCGAAAACTTGAGGGGGGGGATGCAAATCAAAAGTTTGAGGGGGGGGGGTCGCTACGCCTCTGGGGGGTGACACCATTAAGTGCCGCACCGGGTGACACCCGACCTCGCTACGCCACTGGTTAGCACTATACTATAAAGTTGACATGGTTTTTAAGGTTACGATGAGCTAAATATTGTTTTTTTTTAACAAAACGGATTGCCCAATTCACGATCATATAAAGTAAAAACCTAAAAACTTATGAAGTCATTTCAAGAATGCCGTAATACTTGATTTATTAACTGCAGTTATAACTAACTCCACAATATCATTCCGAAAGTGCAAGTCGACCCGTATTTTAACAACCCAGCATCACTATGCCCCCCCCTCCCCCCACCACCCCTGTCCTGTCGTATTGATCTCATTCCAAGCCGCTTACATTTCAGCATGTTATGTAATACATCAATAAAAATGACAATAATATAATTATGAAAAAGAGACAAAATGATGTGATTAGCGCGCGGATAATTACAGAATAGTTTCATTATCTGTGTCGTTAAACGGTGCTCAATTATTTTCGTTTGACTTTTTAAACAACTAGCGTTGTTGGTTCTTTTTATCAGCGGGAAATTGGTTAACATTTTCTGTCTATGCTCCCCGACAAATTTGTTAACATTTTCTATCAAAGCCTCCGGAAAATATGTTAACATTTTCCAATATATCCCTGGAAAGTTTGTTAATAATTGCTATGTCCCGGCAAATTTGTTAAAATTTTCTGTTTATACCTTCAGCTAATTTGTTAACATTTTCTGTATATGATGCCAGGCAGATATGTTACATTTTCTGTATATGATGCCCGGAAAATTTGTTAACATTTTCTGTATATTATGCTCCCCGGCAAATTTGTTAACATTTTCTGTATATGATGCCAGGCAAATATGTTACATTTTCTGTATATGATGCCCGGAAAATTTGTTAACATTTTCTGTATATTATGCTCCCCGGCAAATATGTTAACATTTTCTGTATATTATGCTCCCCGGCAAATATGTTAACATTTTCTGTATATGATGCCCGGCAAATTTATTAACATTTTCTGTATATCATGCTCCCCGGCAAATTTGTTAACATTTCTGTATATGATGCCCAGCAAATTTGTTAACATTTTCTGTCTATGATGCCCAGCAAATTTGTTAACATTTTCTGTCTATGCCCGCTCAGGTGATCTGGGTGAACCCAAGAAAAACGGTCATGAGCTTGGGCGACCGCAGGCTCATCGACGACAGCAGGGTGAGTGTAGAGAGACCTTACATGAAGATCTGGAACCTTCTCATTCGTGACGTCAGACACAACGACAGCGGCACCTATCAGTGTCAGGTCAACACCTTCCCAGAGCAGATCAAGAAAGTTAACTTAGACGTTAAAGGTGTGTGGAGTGGTGGTTTAATGTGTGGGGTGTGTGTGGGGTGTGTGGGGGTATGTTAGCAACACGCAGGAGCAGATCAAGAAAGTTAACTTAGACGTTAAAGGTGTGTGGTATGTGGGTTTAATGTGTGGGGTGTGTGGGGGTGTGTGTGGGGTGTGTGGGGTTATGTTAGCAACACGTAGGAGCAGATCAAGAAAGTTAACTTAGACGTGAAAGGTGTGTGGAGTGTGGGTTTAATGTGTGGGGTGGTGTGGGGAGTGTGGGGGTATGTTAGCAACACGCAGGAGCAGATCAAGAAAGTTAACTTAGACGTTAAAGGTGTGTGGTGTGTGGGTTTAATGTGTGGGGTGTGTGGGGAGTGTGTGTGGGGTGTGTGGGGTATGTTAGCAACACGCAGGAGCAGATCAAGAAAGTTAACTTAGACGTTAAAGGTGTGTGGTGTGTGGGTTTAATGTGTGGGGTGTGTGGGGGGTGTGTGTGGGGTGTGTGGGGTTATGTTAGCAACACGTAGGAGCAGATCAAGAAAGTTAACTTAGACGTTAAAGGTGTGTGGAGTGTTGGTTTAATGTGTGGGGTGTGTGGGTGTGTGTGGAAGGTGTGTGTGTGGGGTGTGTGTTGGGTGTGTGGAGTGTATGTGGGGTGTGTTAGATTAGCACCACGTCGGAGAAGGGCAAGAAAGTTATTTTAGACTTCCCAGGTCAGTGTGTATTTGTGGTTCGGGGGTGGGTGGAGAGAGTGAGGTGTGGGTGGGGCGTGTGAGGTGTGGGTAGGATGTGTGAGGTGTGTGTGGGGCATGTAGGGTGTGTGTTATATATGTATGTGTTAGTGTGTGAAGTGTTTTAGTGTATCCGATGGTCAATGGTCAGTTGAATTATGTTGGTGAACGTTGGTGTATGTTGGTGTGTGCTGGTGTGTGTTGGTATGTGTTGGTGTGTGTTGATGTGTGTGTGTGTTGCTGTGTGTTGCTGTGTGTTGGAGTGTGTTGGTGTGTGTTGATGTGTGTGTGTTGGTGTGAGTGTGTGTTGCTGTGTGTGTTGATGAGCGTGTGTAGATGTGTGTGTGTTGGTGTGTGTGTGTTGCTGTGTTGTGTTGCTGTGTGTTGGTGTGAGTGTGTGTTGCTGTGTGTTGCTGTGTGTTGGTTTTCACATCTCCTGCCTGGCCTGTCCCACCCATCCACCATGACGTCATATTCCCAGTGCCACCGATGATCCACAACAACCTGTCCACCGACAAAGTTGATCTGAAGGAGCACGAGACAGCCACCCTGGTCTGCAACGTCTCGGGGGTGCCCCACCCCAACGTCACGTGGTTCAAGAGGGACACGGTCTTAAAGCAGAAAGAAAGTGAGGACTCCATTTTAAAGTAGTTTGTCTAGTTTTCAGAAAGCATTATCAATGACTGAATGTATTTACTTGGTCAAATCGGTGAACTCGAACCTTCTGGCAGATGAGGCTCGACAGCTAAAGACTGCAACTCTTCTAGGAGAGACAACTCCAAAATCAAACAACTGCCGCCTTGTAGTTTTTCTTGGTTGGACAAAAATTAGGGAAGCAAATTTAAAAAAAAAAAAAAAACATCAAAAAACAGGCCGACACGTAATACTAGAATTTAAGAACGAAGACGAAGAAGAAAGAAGAATGACTGACATAACTAACCTTAACACTAAATTATTAGTTTGTTTTAATAAAATCTCTATCGTGTATACTTTGAGATAGCGCTAATAAAATAAATGGTTATAACAAAACTATCATTTGGCACCGCCAACCTTCAATACATTGGAAACCCAAAACGTGAGGGAAATAACTCAATAAAAATAAATAGACACAACATTTATATTAATAGCCTCCCTTGATTCTTTAAAAATGTAGCGTCGTTGAAACAAAACAGCTCTTGCATTTAATTATAACTTGTATCCACTTTTTTAAATGTTTTGTTTACACTGACCGAGCTTTATCGTTGCAGGGATCGGCACCGAGGGTGAGGTGCTCATCATCCACAACATCACACGGGTCTGTCAGGGCACGTACGAGTGTTACGTCGACAACGGCGTGCCGCCAGCACTCACCAAAGCCATACGGGTGGTGGTCAATTGTGAGTATTCACGCAGTCAGTGGTGGACACAAGGGTGACCAAGTCCGTTTAATGCATATATAATATATTTATTAAAAGTAAACTACCCTTTCGAGCCTGTATGTCCATGGGCCAGGTGAAGTAGAGTTTACTTGCTTCAGTGACTTCGGCATATGAGAGGATAATGTGGTTAGCATTATGCCAAGCTCGCTCTTTTTTTTCCCTAAGGTGAGTTAGGTACCCATTAGAGCTGGGTGGACTCAGGGACGTTCTCCTGATACACACCTTTATTCGAACTCGAGACGTTCGCGTTACCTGTCGTATGCTCTACCATCCAATAATGCCGTCCCTATACAGTGGCGTAGCTAGGGGAAAGCGGGTGGGGCGACAATAAGGGGGCGCCAAAGGGAGTTAAAAAAATAATAAAAAGGCTAATTTTAAGCTGAATTATTGAATTATACATAATCAAAGATGCGAAAATAAACGACTAAAAGGGCTTACACACTGATTTAACTTTCAATCTTGTGGCACCAAAATAGCATATGCTACGGGGTAGCAACTGTTTAGTAGTGTTACAAACCTTTCCAACTTAAGGGGTAAAGATGGGGGGAGCGCTTTTTCAAAAACAAGAATAATTATAAATAGCAAATGGATAGGGCCAAAATTTATATTCCGCCCCTGACGCCGGAATGGGTCGCTACGCCTCAGTCCCTAAATGTGTTGATGGAAGATGGCAATAATGATGGTAATAGTAAAAGAAACATAGAGTAATTTTCTACCAACCTCTTCCCCAACCCTTCACCCCCATCGAGACATATCTTTTTATAGCAGAAAATAAAAAATAAAACATCAAATTATTAAAATTAACTGGTAATGCACATGTTTTAATTTAAAAAAAAAAGTTTTGTATTGACAATTAAAAAAGATACTAAATTAAAAATAATTAAAAATGATAATTTCTGAATCCAATATCATGTCACATTATTACATATTTAATACGTTCTTACCAGTTCTAATCTAATAAAATTAGCTAAAATTTCTTTATACTTCCTTTGGGATATTTTTTCTAATTGAAGAACTAAGGTTAAACAAATATCAAATTACTGAACATGATCGCATACAGGTTAAATTACTTTAAAACATCTTGCAACTCTCTCCCCCCCCCCACCCCGGGTTACAGATGCACCGAAAGTGTACTTGGATGGCCCCAAACGGTTGGGCCAGTCCCTGGGGAAGGAGACGATTGTGGAGTGTCACGTGTCAGCCCACCCCCAGAGTGAGACCAGCTGGAGGAAAGGGGGGAGAATTCTTTCCAAAGGGGAGAAGTAAGTCACGTGTGTGTAAGTCACGTGTGTCTAAGTCACGTGAATCTAAGTCAGGTGTGTCTAAGTCACGTGTGTGTAAGTCACGTGTGTCTAAGTCACGTGAATCTAAGTCAGGTGTGTCTAAGTCACGTGTGTGTAAGTCACGTGTGTGTCTAAGTCAGGTGTGTCTAAGTCAGGTGTCTAAGTCACGTGTGTGTAAGTCACGTGTGTATAAGTCACGTGTGTAAGTCACGTGTGTATAAGTCACGTGTTTAAGTCACGTGTGTATAAGTCACGTGTTTAAGTCACGTGTGTGTAAGTCAGGTGTGTCTAAGTCAGGTGTCTAAGTCACGTGTGTGTAAGTCACGTGTGTGTAAGTCACGTGTGTAAGCCAATTGTGTGTGTAAGTCACTTGTGTATAAGTCAGGTCTGTATAAGTCAGGTGTGCATAAGCCAGGTGTGTGTAAGTCAAGTGGGTCTAAGTCACGTGTCTAAGTCACGTGAGTATAAGTCACGCGTGTCTAAGTCAGGTGTGTCTAAGTCAAGTGTGTCTAAGTCATGTTTGTGTAAGTAACATGTGCTTAAGTCACAATGGTGTGAGCGTCCTGTATTAAAGACAAATGCAAACCACCTTACGTTCCATCAAACAATAAGAAATAAAACACGTTTAGAAATCTTTAAAACAAACTTTTCAATGTAATTAACTAATCGAAAACCTAATTAGATTAAAAATTAGATATTCTTCTTAGACTTCGAAATCGAGCATTTCTGAATAGTTAAATTAGAAATCAATCTAGAAGAGACCTCAATCAAAAGATCAGAAAACAAACGTTTACTTAGTTCATCCTGAAATAGATTCCACCTTCCTCAGGTACGACATACAGGTATTTGTCAGTGAAGAAGAAAACACGGTGATCTTGGCCCTGAGGATTCGTGACATCACACCTGACGACTTCGGACACTACGACTGTGTGGCTTCTAACGCCATTGGTAGTGACAAGGATACTTTTATTTTGCATGGTCAGTAACCTTCGTATGGTCAGTGACCTTATGGTCAGTGACCTTCTTATGGTCATTGACCTTCTTATGGTCAATGAACTTCTTATGGTCAATGAACTTCTTATGGTCAGTGACCTTCTTATGGTCATTGACCTTCTTATGGTCAATGAACTTCTTATGGTCAATGAACTTCTTATGGTCAGTGACCTTCTTATGGTCATTGACCTTCTTATGGTCAATGAACTTCTTATGGTCAATGAACTTCTTATGGTCAGTGACCTTCTTATGGTCAATGAACTTCCTATGGTCAATGAACTTCTTATGGTCAATGAACTTCTTATGGTCAATGAACTTCTTATGGTCAATGAACTTCTTATGGTCAATGAACTTCTTATGGTCAGTGACTTTCTTATGGTCAGTGAGTTTTTTTTAGTCAGTAAACTTCTTATGGTCAAACACATTTAAGAATACAGTGGTAGATCATTAGTAGTATATTAGGTCACTTTTGGAGCGTATTCCTGGCGGAGGTGGGGATGTGGAGGAACAATGACATATAGTAAAATACTCGGGAGCAGGATGCGCGGGATGCGCAATGACATATAGTAAAATACTCCCAGCCTGGCGCATCGGGATGTGGAGGGTGGGTGAGCAGGATGCGCAGGATGCGCAAAGACATATAGTAAAATACTACGCCAACTGGGGTTGGCGGAGGTGGTGGGGAAGTAGGTCACCTTTTGGTGACCTTGTGACGTAATTAGTAACATTATGACGTAATCATTGACCTAGTTACGTAATTTTAATGTGTTTTTAATGAGTTTTAATGAGTTTTTTAAATTTTTAATTAATTTTTGACCTAGTTACGTAATTTAATGCGTTTTTTAATGAGTTTGAATTTAATTTTGTAATTTTAATTAATTTTTATTAACGAGTTACGTAATTTGATTATTTGTTTACTTTTTAATTATTTTTATTTGTTGTTTACTTGTTGTTTAATTTAATTACTTTGTTTATATTGTGTAATTTTTTTATTGACTAGTTACGTAATGTGATTATTTGTTTACTTTTTAATTATTTTAATTTATTATTTGTTTGAAATTCATTTTAATTAATTGGATTTTAATTACTTTGTTTATTTATTTATTTAATATATTTCTTTTCTTTGTTGTTTACTTGTTGTTTATTTGTTTGATATATTTCTTTTCTTTGTTGTTTAATTTGTTGGTTTGTTTATTTGGTTGTATGTATGTTTTAAATAAAAGACTAACACTAGCGTGGACTTTGTATAGGGACCATTCAGCAACACAACGAACGGTTACCGAAAATAGAACATCCATTTAACCACATCTGTTACTTATCGATCCGGGATCCTTTGTTCTTATCAAACACTGGACAACGGGCGCGTTAATATTGATTCCACCCACGGACCATCAAATGATGGCCACGCTGCGCGGTTTTTAATGGGTATTGTATCGATCGCACCCACGGGACCATCACACCTAATTAAATCTTTTGTTATGCTTCACCGAGTTTCCCCCGAGCGGTTTGATAGGTCATGATGATTTATGTGGGTTCGCGAAGCGAACACTGCAGGGGTTATGGTAATTATCGCAAAGCCAGCGTTAAGTGTGGGAACACCTGTTACCACGTTAATCGATTTTTTCCCCCGGTTGGGTCCCGTGCTTTTCACTAACAGTTATACGGACAGTATCATAGGTTTTTTGTTTTCACCTAGGCAATGTTTTGTTGTTGGTTGGTGTAGAGTTTATACCAGGGTCGGTGAAGTTTTCACCGAGGTTGGTTTTGAACTCGGACCATGCATGTTTAGGAATTGCTAAATTTTAATTAATTTTTGACCTAGTTACGTAATTTTAATGCGTTTTTAAGGAGTTTTTAAATTTTTAATTAATTTTTATTATCGAGTTACGTAATTTAATTACTTTGATTGTATTTTTATTTTGTTTAATTTGTTTGTTTACTTGTTGTTTAATTTAATTACTTTGTTTATATTGTGTAATTTTTTTATTAACGAGTTACGTAATTTGATTATTTGTTTACTTTTTAATTATTTTTATTTTGTTTATTTTTAATTTTATTTTATTTTATAATTAGTTAAATTATTATTAACTAGTTACGTAATTTGATTTTAATTTTTTTTTTTTAAATTTTTAAAAAATTTTTTTAAATTATTATTTTTAAATTTTATTTTTAATTGTTGTTTACTTGTTGTTTAATTTAATTACTTTGTATAATTTATTTGTTTGAAATTCATTTTAATTAGTTTGCTGTTAATTATTGGCGACAGATGTTACCAAGCGGGTGGTGGTGGTGGTGGTGGTGGTGGTGGTGGTGGTGGTGGTAAATTTGCTTAAGATTATAAACTTCAAGTTTTAAAAATCAACAACGTTATGGACCATTCTCCACCACAACGAACGTTACAAACATAGAACATCCATTAAAGATAACGATCAGCCACAGCTGTTACGTATCGACCCGCCCGCGAAGTTTTCTCACCGCTGCCCGTTTTAATGGGAATGTATTGATCGCAGCCGCTGGCCCATCACACCTAATTAATTTGGTCACGCCTCGTGTGTTTATGTGTTGTTCACGGACGCGAACACAGCAGGGGGTATGATAATTAATTGAAAGAGCTAAGTGTCTCTCCCCGAAGCTAGCGTTAAGTGTGGGAACACCTGTTACCACGTTAATCGATTTTTTCCCCGCTCGGTTACTATAGTGAGAAGCCATCACGTAACAGCTGGTGCTGTAATTACGCCGACTAAGGACATTGGTTGTAACTATGCGCTTATAGCGAGGGTCACCGAAAACAAAAATATATTTAAGGGTCGGAATTTTCTTTCAACCACCGTTAAGTCAGGTTTTGAGACGAAACGAAGTCTCGGTAGGTTCGTGTTTTTTAATGGGCGACAGGGCGACTTGGTGCGTTGGTACGTAGGTATGCGGGGTAGACATGTTTTTTACAAGTCTGGAAAAGTAATTACGTTTTTTATGACCGTTCCGATTTTCTTTTGATCTGACCACCATTTGACCACACTGAGCCAGATAAATTTAACAATTGTCGCAGCGGGGTTTATTTTAAGTGCACCCCGTGCACGCTTGTTTACATTTTAAAAGACGTCTCGCGTGTCTTCCCCTTACGGCTTCCCTAATAGAGAAACGAGAAGAAAGACAACTGTTCTAAAATTAGAACAGCCTTGGCTACAGACACGAGTATCGTCCCTTGTGAAAAAATTCGCGTCAGAATCCTTAACTAAACAGTCAATTTCTTTAAAAAGTTAAAAAATAATTTAGGAAGACAAGGGTTAACAAAATATATATCTTAGTCTTGCAGCAGATTACCTTCCCATGTTCGCTTTAGTATTACAGTTTTCATCAATCTTCTTTTTGACTTGAACTTCTTTAATTTTTAAGAAAGTTTACTTATACATAATACATTACGTCTAATGACAATTTTTTTATTTTTACCACTCAATGTATTTTCTTTTTCTATATCTTACATTGTCATCTTAATTTTTGATCACCTTAGGTGGTGGTAAGGTGGTAAGGTGGTGGTAAGGTGGTGGTAAGGTGGTGGTAAATTTGCTTAAGATTATAAACTTCAAGTTTTAAAAATCAACAACGTTATAGTACGTCGTGTCAAATGACACACCGTTAAAATGTCTACATTTAAATTTCACCAAAATAATGATGTATAAACTAAATATGATATGACGTTAGCATACATATCATTCAATCTAATCATTCTAAAGTACAAATCAATAATTTTTATTTATTAAGGGGCTGGGTGAGTTATTTTTATCACTATTCGCCCTTCCCCTTCCCTTTGTCCGCAACCCCTTTCCCCTTCGCCCATCCCTAACCTCAATACCAACCGTACCACTACCCATTCTATTCCATTAAAGAGACAAAGGATTTATGACAATCCTAAAGACAAATATTTATTCAACTAATATCACAACCCCCTAGAAACCACTCCAACAGACTGGGATACATAACTTGTAGATACCACTCCACGTTGAATATCTCTTGCACCCTACCTACATCGACAACTTTGTCCGCCGCCCTCGCCCCCGTCCCTAAACAACCGATAGATAAACACACCGTACCACTACCCACACTATTCCCTTGGACAGACAAAGGACAAAGTAACAGACAAACATTTATCCCCCTTCGTTTACTGTCACAAGTGACAACGTTCCCATCCAACTCCAAAACATCCATGGCCGAATTTCGAAACCTGTCTTGTTGAAAACAAAGACCGTCCCACTCTAGTGTAAACTCTACCCCGACCAACTCCAAAACAGGGATGGTCCACGTTTTAAATCTACCTTAGTGAAAACAAAAGCCTTCCCACTCTAGACTCGGCCCCTAACACTTCCAAAACATACCTGTACTAACTTTGAAACCACCCTCGGTGAAAACTTCACCGACACTAGTATGGACTCTACACCTACCGATTCCAAAACATGAATGTTCCGAGTTCAAAACCAACCTTCACCGACACTAGTATGAACTCGGCTACCAACAATTCCCAAACATACATGTACCAACTTTCCAACCTGCCTCAGTGCTAACAAAATTCCCCGACCCTAGTATGAACTCGACTGCCAACAATTTCTAAACATCCCTGTACCAACTTTGTAACCTGCCTCGGTGAAAACTTCACCGACCTTAGTTTAACTCTCCCTAGCAATTCCAATGATGCATGTACGAACTTTGTAACTTGCCTCGGTGAAAACACCCCCGTCCCTAGTATGAACTCGGTTACCAACAATTTCAAAACATGCATGTTCCGAGTTCAAAACCAACCTTCACCGACACTAGTTTAAACTCTGCCCCATCAATTCCTAAACATGTATGTACCAACTTTGTAACCTACCTCGGTGAAAACTCCCCCGACCCTAGTATGGACTCTACACCTACCGATTTCAAAACATGTATGTTCCGAGTTCAAAACCAACCTTCACCGACACTAGTTTAAACTCTGCCCCATCAATTCCTAAACATGCATGTACCAACTTTGTAACCTGCCTCGGTGAAATCTTCACCGACCCTAGTATGGACTCTAGACCTAACGATTTCAAAACATGTATGTTCCGAGTTCAAAACCAACCTTCACCGACACTAGTATGAACTCGGCTACCAACAATTCCTAAACATGCATGTACCAACTTTGTAACCTGCCTCGGTGAAATCTTCACCGACCCTAGTATGGACTCTAGACCTAACGATTCCAAAACATGCATGTTCCGAGTTCAAAACCAACCTTCACTGACACTAGTACGAACTCTAGACCTACCGATTCCAAAACATACATGTTCCGAGTTCAAAACCAACCTTCACCGACACTAGTATGAACACGGCCCCTAACAATTCCAAGGATGCATGTACCAACATTACAACCTGCCTCAGTATTAGCAAAACTCCCCGACCCTAGTATGAACTCGACCCCTAACAATTCCAAAACATGCATGGTCTAGCTTCGAACCCTTGCCTCGGTGAAAACGTCACCGACTCGTGTATAAAATCTGTTCCAACCAACTCCAAACTTCCCTGGGCGCCCGAATAAAAATAACTCACCCAGCCCCTTAATAAATAAAAATTATTGATTTGTACTTTAGAATGATTAGATTGAATGATATGTATGCTAACGTCATATCATATTTAGTTTATACATCATTATTTTGGTGAAATTTAAATGTAGACATTTTAACGGTGTGTCATTTGACACGACGTACTATAACGTTGTTGATTTTTAAAACTTGAAGTTTATAATCTTAAGCAAATTTACCACCACCTTACCACCACCTTACCACCACCTTACCACCTTACCACCACCTAAGGTGATCAAAAATTAAGATGACAATGTAAGATATAGAAAAAGAAAATACATTGAGTGGTAAAAATAAAAAAATTGTCATTAGACGTAATGTATTATGTATAAGTAAACTTTCTTAAAAATTAAAGAAGTTCAAGTCAAAAAGAAGATTGATGAAAACTGTAATACTAAAGCGAACATGGGAAGGTAATCTGCTGCAAGACTAAGATATATATTTTGTTAACCCTTGTCTTCCTAAATTATTTTTTAACTTTTTAAAGAAATTGACTGTTTAGTTAAGGATTCTGACGCGAATTTTTTCACAAGGGACGATACTCGTGTCTGTAGCCAAGGCTGTTCTAATTTTAGAACAGTTGTCTTTCTTCTCGTTTCTCTATTAGGGAAGCCGTAAGGGGAAGACACGCGAGACGTCTTTTAAAATGTAAACAAGCGTGCACGGGGTGCACTTAAAATAAACCCCGCTGCGACAATTGTTAAATTTATCTGGCTCAGTGTGGTCAAATGGTGGTCAGATCAAAAGAAAATCGGAACGGTCATAAAAAACGTAATTACTTTTCCAGACTTGTAAAAAACATGTCTACCCCGCATACCTACGTACCAACGCACCAAGTCGCCCTGTCGCCCATTAAAAAACACGAACCTACCGAGACTTCGTTTCGTCTCAAAACCTGACTTAACGGTGGTTGAAAGAAAATTCCGACCCTTAAATATATTTTTGTTTTCGGTGACCCTCGCTATAAGCGCATAGTTACAACCAATGTCCTTAGTCGGCGTAATTACAGCACCAGCTGTTACGTGATGGCTTCTCACTATAGTAACCGAGCGGGGAAAAAATCGATTAACGTGGTAACAGGTGTTCCCACACTTAACGCTAGCTTCGGGGAGAGACACTTAGCTCTTTCAATTAATTATCATACCCCCTGCTGTGTTCGCGTCCGTGAACAACACATAAACACACGAGGCGTGACCAAATTAATTAGGTGTGATGGGCCAGCGGCTGCGATCAATACATTCCCATTAAAACGGGCAGCGGTGAGAAAACTTCGCGGGCGGGTCGATACGTAACAGCTGTGGCTGATCGTTATCTTTAATGGATGTTCTATGTTTGTAACGTTCGTTGTGGTGGAGAATGGTCCATAACGTTGTTGATTTTTAAAACTTGAAGTTTATAATCTTAAGCAAATTTACCACCACCACCACCACCACCACCACCACCACCACCACCACCCGCTTGGTAACATCTGTCGCCAATAATTAACAGCAAACTAATTAAAATGAATTTCAAACAAATAAATTATACAAAGTAATTAAATTAAACAACAAGTAAACAACAATTAAAAATAAAATTTAAAAATAATAATTTAAAAAAATTTTTTAAAAATTTAAAAAAAAAAAATTAAAATCAAATTACGTAACTAGTTAATAATAATTTAACTAATTATAAAATAAAATAAAATTAAAAATAAACAAAATAAAAATAATTAAAAAGTAAACAAATAATCAAATTACGTAACTCGTTAATAAAAAAATTACACAATATAAACAAAGTAATTAAATTAAACAACAAGTAAACAAACAAATTAAACAAAATAAAAATACAATCAAAGTAATTAAATTACGTAACTCGATAATAAAAATTAATTAAAAATTTAAAAACTCCTTAAAAACGCATTAAAATTACGTAACTAGGTCAAAAATTAATTAAAATTTAGCAATTCCTAAACATGCATGGTCCGAGTTCAAAACCAACCTCGGTGAAAACTTCACCGACCCTGGTATAAACTCTACACCAACCAACAACAAAACATTGCCTAGGTGAAAACAAAAAACCTATGATACTGTCCGTATAACTGTTAGTGAAAAGCACGGGACCCAACCGGGGGAAAAAATCGATTAACGTGGTAACAGGTGTTCCCACACTTAACGCTGGCTTTGCGATAATTACCATAACCCCTGCAGTGTTCGCTTCGCGAACCCACATAAATCATCATGACCTATCAAACCGCTCGGGGGAAACTCGGTGAAGCATAACAAAAGATTTAATTAGGTGTGATGGTCCCGTGGGTGCGATCGATACAATACCCATTAAAAACCGCGCAGCGTGGCCATCATTTGATGGTCCGTGGGTGGAATCAATATTAACGCGCCCGTTGTCCAGTGTTTGATAAGAACAAAGGATCCCGGATCGATAAGTAACAGATGTGGTTAAATGGATGTTCTATTTTCGGTAACCGTTCGTTGTGTTGCTGAATGGTCCCTATACAAAGTCCACGCTAGTGTTAGTCTTTTATTTAAAACATACATACAACCAAATAAACAAACCAACAAATTAAACAACAAAGAAAAGAAATATATCAAACAAATAAACAACAAGTAAACAACAAAGAAAAGAAATATATTAAATAAATAAATAAACAAAGTAATTAAAATCCAATTAATTAAAATGAATTTCAAACAAATAATAAATTAAAATAATTAAAAAGTAAACAAATAATCACATTACGTAACTAGTCAATAAAAAAATTACACAATATAAACAAAGTAATTAAATTAAACAACAAGTAAACAACAAATAAAAATAATTAAAAAGTAAACAAATAATCAAATTACGTAACTCGTTAATAAAAATTAATTAAAATTACAAAATTAAATTCAAACTCATTAAAAAACGCATTAAATTACGTAACTAGGTCAAAAATTAATTAAAAATTTAAAAAACTCATTAAAACTCATTAAAAACACATTAAAATTACGTAACTAGGTCAATGATTACGTCATAATGTTACTAATTACGTCACAAGGTCACCAAAAGGTGACCTACTTCCCCACCACCTCCGCCAACCCCAGTTGGCGTAGTATTTTACTATATGTCTTTGCGCATCCTGCGCATCCTGCTCACCCACCCTCCACATCCCGATGCGCCAGGCTGGGAGTATTTTACTATATGTCATTGCGCATCCCGCGCATCCTGCTCCCGAGTATTTTACTATATGTCATTGTTCCTCCACATCCCCACCTCCGCCAGGAATACGCTCCAAAAGTGACCTAATATACTACTATCATTTATCATGGCAAGTCAGTGCTTAAGTCAGGAATATGTCAGGAGGAAAACTTACAAATCATGCAGACGTATTAATTAAAAGAACGTGTTTTTATGAGATTAACATTTTTGAAAGATTTGCAGGGGTTATGCCCATTCGAACAACTCTGTATAAGCCACTGCAAGAGAAGAATCGGTAATGTAATATTGGTGTCAGTATTATGGTTGAGAAATCACCAGAAAATTTTTGAACTCAAAATGTCTATAGTTTTGTTTTGTTGAAAGAGAACATATCTTAATGCTATTTTCTGTGATCGTCCATCGTCGCGTTATCAATCTCTACTCATGTGTGTTGGTGTGTGTGTGTGTGGGGGGGGGGGGGGAGGTTAAGAAATGTAGAACGTTTTCAGAAGGTCAATAGTTGCCATCAATAATCCTTAGCATAAAGGTGGGCGTCAGTTGGAGTTTTTAGCGGGTGTTTGTAAAAGACATAAATGGATATATCTGTTTGTCAGAAATGACTCCCTAAACATAAGCAAAAAAAAAATCACATCTTAAAATTTAAATTATCACTTTTTTATTTATTTTAAGAAATTCTGAATTTGACAGAAACAATAACAACAACCACAACGGAACCACCGAAGGTCGACAGCTACAACCCCGACCAGTTTGAGGAACCCCGGCTGTACAACAGCAAACCCGAGCACAAACTGGGTAATCACGAAGTCGACTACCACAGTCAAATTACCGAGATTCAATCGTCAAACAAGGGAGTTAATATGGGTATCCTTATTTATAGACAGCATTTTAATGGTTCTCTCCCCTTTCTGTTTTAAGAATTTTATTTTCGGTTTAAACGTATAAAAGTATTATCGCAAACATATAGGTTAAGCAATGTCACATAAATATGTAGTAATTAGTGGTACTAAAACAAATATGCACTCTCATATGAACAATTTCGCTCAACGTGAGCTTAAACCACCTTAAAATTTCACTTTTTCAATACATATTGTTAAAACTACATTCAATTTTGAACATTTTTATATAATTATTTTGTTTGGTTAACTGTTGGTAGAATTTTTTTTTAATTAATTAGAGTAATGACTTTTCACATAAATTTTGCATAATTAAACAACCTAAAAATTAAAAGAGGTTTTAAAAATGATTTTACTTGTGTATTTTTTACTATTTATCGTTTTTCTCAAAATTTAACTTTTTATCAAAATAGTAATCAGTCAATAAATGTGTTTTCTACGCCACTAAAACACCTGCACACACACCTGTAGACAAACACCTGTAGACAAACGATTGTAGACAAACGATTGTAGACAAACACCTCTAACACCTCGAATTATTTCCACCAGGTTATGACGACTCCGATAGCGGAAGTGGAGCTAAAAGCGAAACACTTCAAAACTCTGTGTCTGCAGGTAATTTCATCTCTCCATCCCTCATGTATGTAGAGCCATCTTCATTAGTCATGTACAAATTTCCCCATTATTCACATATAACCTTCATCCCTTCTCCACTGAGTGTTAGGTATTTATAATGCTTAGGCCGGTGGTTTAGAGAATAGACTCCATTATTAAATGTTTTACACATAAAGTTGATATGTAATTAACATATAAAAAACACAATTAAAATGTTAAACAAAAAAAATGTAAAACCATATCTTCGGAAAGCTTGATTATCTTATCAAACACGTCGTTTAATTTACCGCCTCGATGCAAGGGGAAGCTATATTTACAATTTAGTTAACTTGAAGAGTTTTGTAAGTTATTGCCCTTTGGTTACATTCTATTGTTTTTCCATGTGTTTGAATAAGTAGTCTTTCATAGTCGAAACTACTTTTTTTTACATATCAAATCGTCTTAGTGCTTATACATCAACCCTAACCAAATGACTTCACAATTTATCTGCCCTATTCGCCCATGTCATGTTCTTTACATTGTTATTACAGAAAATAAAAATGTGTGCAAATGCGTGTGAAGATGTATATTAAACTTTTAATACCTGACGACTAACTTTTTAAAAAATGCCTCGGTTCAGCTTAAAAAATTATTTTTTTTAATTGAATGTTCGTGAAAAATCTTTACCACCCCCCCGCCCCATATCCCCACCCCCACCATATTTTCGTCATACATTGAACACCCCCCCCCCCCCACCCCACCAATAGTGTCACTTTATGTATGTACTACCTTTAAATCAAATTGTCCACTTAAAAGTTCCCTTTTCAAACCTGATGGTCTATGGGGCAAGTGAAGTAGAGTTCACTGTGACTTCGGCATATGAAGAGATAGTGTGGTCAGCACTATGCCCAGCCGCCTATACTTTTCCTAACTTGAGTTAGGTACCCATCAGAGTTGGGTGGACTCAGGGACGGTATACTGACTTGAACCCGGATTCGAACTCGAGAAATCGCCTACTTGCTGAACTGTAAAATTTCAAACAGATGTTAAAGAAAATCTTGACCAATAACTTTTCATCTCCAGACGCCACCGCAAGAAGCGACAACAGCAGGAACGGTGCAGACGTTAACTCCCCAGCTTTAGTACCAGCTCTCTGTCTAGTTTTCTATTGGTTGATATCATCCACGTGTCATTGACGTCACCACACGCTATATACAAGTCTCAAAATAGTATCAGGTCGCCATAAGGACATACGTATCTGCCTAGACACATGCGTTCAACTTCCGGTCCATTCAGCCAGGACTTTTGTTTGTACGCGTGCTCAGATAGTCTTTAGTGGAGTGGACGTCTAGACCAATGTGTCTAGACAGATGTGTCTAGAGTTTAGACCAATGTGTCTAGAGACTAGACCAATGTGTCTCTAGACCAATGTGTCTCTAGACCAATTTTTCTTGACAAATGTGTTTAGACGAACCTGTCTAGACTAGACAAGTCTGTCTAAACAAATGTCTGGACGAACCTGTCTAGACTAGACAACTCTGTCTAAACAAATGTCTGGACGAACCTGTCTAGACATGTCTGTCTAGATAAAAACTGGTCAAGGAATATCTGTCTTGCCGAAGTAGTCTTTGATCTTTATCCATTCCATTCAGTACAGCAAATAGAATTTGTTCCATACTTAACCCTCGCTATTAACACAGAATAGAATTTCTGGCTAAGGGATTAAAAGTCTAGGGAAAAAAATATTAAAGAACACACACATAAAAACAACAACAAAATATTGTTAACAGGATAGTTATTGTTTCAATTTTCTGTTGCGTTGATGCTATAGAGGAGGTCGCATACAATGTAGACAAATCCATTGTACCCGTCTGCAACTTGTTCCGTGGCACAAGTTGCAAGTTCATGGTCAAGGTTACACGGCTTTTGTCGAGTTATATGGCCATCAGAGGTTCGGCTTTAGTTAGTGAGTGTTAGTGAGGTAGTCGGTGAGTTTGTTAGTGAGAGGTCTATGACAAATGCCCGAATGGACACTTGCCCGAATGCGACAAATGCCCGAATGCCGCAAGTGGCTTTCGGGCATTTGTCGCATTCGGGCAAGTGTCCATTCGGGCATTTGTCGCATTCAGGCAAGTGTCTTTCGGGAAAACGTCCGGCTCCCGTTAGTGAGGTAGTTGGTGAGTTAGAGCGATAATCATAAAAATCAGGAAAACCATTAAATAAAGAAAATGTCTTACATATGCATAGATGTAATCTAGGTATACTTTCCTTTATGTTTGTCAAAAAAATAACTGATAAAGACATTCATATTTACTAAGAATTTCTTTTTTAAATTTCAATCGGACGTTAAAGTTTACCGTATACATATAGGGCCTACTCATAATTAAATTAAGTTGTAATTAAAAATTGAAATTTAAAAAATTAAAAAAATTTTTTCTGAAAAATTAAAAGCAAAAAATAAAAATGATAAGTTGTTAATATTGCCATACATCATAAAAGATTGCATATACACTTTAACACTCAGCGACATACAGCGTTTCTTCCAGACATATACTTTTGCCAAATGTATCCCCCCCCCCCCCCCGGAAAATGTTGTCCGTCTCCGGTCCCCGAAATTATCAAGCCCCCCCCCCCCGGAGAAAAAAGTCTGGAAGAAACACTGTCGACATACTACCCAAAACATATACACACACTCAGTATCTAGCGTCACTCAGCTCAATACGTCATCGATTACGTCATGTTAGAAATGTTGACTGCAGAGAATATGCAAATTTGCAACCACAAAAGCTCACAAAACGACATTATCGAAACTATCACATTTTAGCTCAAGCCAATGACAGGACATTGTCTGCGCCTAGTGACCAATTTTTAAATACACTTAATTTATCTCCCGCTCATTCACGAAAAAAATACACAATATCACTATCATTTTTAAAAAATTGAATATATTAGCCCGACATTTTAATTTTTCCAGAATTTTTGGAAGGTCTCAAGTTTTCAGCATTAAATTCATCTCACGTATTTTAATTAATGAATCAGTTCTAAAAATAATTCACTTTTTAAAATCTGTGGTTATGATTAAAATTACATGTTATTCGTTTTGCTAGCTGTGCATTAAAAAAAAATGGTGAGTGGAGTTTTATGTAGTGGTATTGAAGGAATTATTCTTATACATTTGCCCCGTGTGTTTTGGGTAAAAACGGGAAAAGATGATGAATAAAGGAATTCTGCTTTTATTTACAATCTCGCTGATAGGTCGTTGTTGATGTCTACTGCATTATATTTAATTTAATTCAACCCGTATCATTAATTTCATGATGAACGACATCTATTAACGAAAGGAAATATTTACTACTGTAACTGTAATATGATCACCCTTTGGGGGTAATTCGACTAGTGTCGAGACTTTATGGATTACTAATAGAAAAAATAAAACAAGCACTATCCTTTACACCGTGACAGGGTATCCATTTTTGTGGATTGCTTTTGCGTGGATAAGATGGATGGTGTGCTGAGACAGATGGATTTCATCACTTGTATCAAATCAAAGCTTTAATGTATCACTTGATTATTTTATGCGCAAATCTCGCATGTAGCAGTGATGTTTTCTATAAACTCTGAGCTGGACACAAATTTTGAATCAGTCCTAAATAAAAAAAAAACAACAGAAACATTCTTGCCTCTTCAAACCTGCTACATGAAAGTTTTGCACACTTTGCATTCCAAATAAACATTATCAATAATTTAACAAGTGTGGTCGACTATTGTGTTTGATTTGCCCAAGAATTTATTTAACATTTAATTGATACGTCATACTTAATCCATTAAATAACATTTGATGTAATTTCATACTTTTTGCAGTGAAACTGATTATGTGTGATAGTAGCTTAAGACATCGTTACATATTTTGTACATGCGGATTTAAATGTATTACCACCATATCGTGTTTAGAAGCCAAATGTAACAAAATGTCTTTGTAATAGGTTTTGTCCGTAACTGCATTTACAAAACCAGGGGAAGCCACTCTATTATTACTTAGTCTCTCAAGAACAGTAATTTGATTTTGTAAACACTTTAACCATTAGCTGTATTAAAATAAATGTCTTTTTTGTTTCAAAATATTACTTATATATATATATATATATATATATATATATATATATATATATATATATATATATATATATATATATATATATATATATACATATTAAACACATTTAAAATCATATGCATAATACATTATAAAGGGAAGTAAATCAATTTCATGAATGCTTAATCCCACTTTCGCTTTTTGTGAAACATACTTGGCAAATGTGAAGTTGAATAGATATTTAGGTAATCGTTTGCAGATTGTTCGGTGTCAAAATTCATACCTCAGCTTATTTGTTTGTAAACATTGATTTTTTTTCCTGCAAACTGTTATAAAAATTAGCTCACATTTTTAAATTTAATTTCAAATATGTTTTAGAATTAGTAATTATTTAAAATAATGTTTTGTGCATTGTTCATTAATTATCTTCTTACAATGAAATATTGTGTACATAGATAAGGAACAATGCTAGGTAAAAATATACAAGACATAATATTTGGTCTAACATGTTATTTTGTCAATGTACTTTGCTAACTGATATATGTTTATGCTAAAGTTATGTATGTAGTTTCTGTTTGTCTTGCGCTTAAACATGTTTGTGAACCCGTATATTTTATGTAATGGGTAAAGTTAAAACATTTAATATTAGAATCTGATTGCACTCGAAATAACAGCTAATGGAGGCTTAGTATTACAAGTCTGGCACAAATTAACTTTATTAAAAAATTTAATTTAAATTCGAGGATGGTAAAAACATCTGTATAGCAGGCTTAGTATCAAAACAAAACTGGTATAAAAATCTTCATGACAGACTTAGTATCAAAACGAGGCTGGTATAAACAACTTTATTGCGGGCTTTGCATCAAAACGAGACTTGAGTTTAATCAATGAACCAACTTTCCGCTGCGGTTTAAAAAAAAAAACTCCGCGCCATATTTTAGCCTGATGACGGTTTTAGCTCACGTTTCAGTGTTACATAACCAGTACTCACGCGAAGGTCAATGTTTTATCCTGTTCAGCCAAGCCTCCAAAAGTAGCTTGGGATATTTGTCTTGTTTAAAGAAACCCCTCCCCCACCTCTTGTTTATGTTTTCTCCCAAATCCCCCACCACTATAAGAAAAGTATAGCGTCTAACAATCCCCCCTCCCACTTCATAAATTATGTTTTGTCAGAAACCTTTGTCCAGTCCCCTACCCCATGTCTTCCTGATGTCAACTTGTGATAGTTAAAACTGTGGTCATCTCACCCCCCCCCCCCACCTTTTTTTTCAACTTACCTCACCGTCTGTGTTGGTTTTGTTCCCGCTATTCCACAGGAAGCCAAATATCACTGTAACATATTATTGCCAACCATCTGATCAGTCATTGAACAATGAAATTAAAACTGTTTGTGTATACAACCACTCTTCTGTTTTCTATGGGATGCTGAGGGTTGACGGTATGGTCCATGGTGTGGTGGATGTTGTAATAGGTAATGTAGTGGTTGGCGGGGTGGATGATGTAGTGGGTGGTGTGGTGGATGATGTAGTATGTGATGTAGTGGGTAATGTAATGGGTGGTGTGGTGGATGATGTAGTGGGTGATGTAGTGGATGGTGTCGTGGATGATGTAGTGGGTGATGTAGTGGATGGCGTGGTGGATGATGTAGTAGAGGGTGTAGTGGATGATGGAGTGGGTGATGTAGTGGGTGGTATGGTGGATGATGTAGTAGGTGATGTAGTGGATGGTGTAGTGGATGATGTAGTGGGTGGCGAGGTGGAGGATGTAGTGGGTGGTGTGGTGGATGATGTAATGGGTGATTTAGTGGATGGTGTGGTGGATAATGTAATGGGTGGTGTGGTGGATGGTATTGTGGAGGCTAATGGTGGATCGTGTAGTGGATGATGTATAAATTAAGCTGATACTATTGCATCAGGAATACTAGTTTCTGTCAGTACGTATTTAATACTTTGTTAAAACATACCTATTTAAAGCATGAATGAACTACTCGAGATAGAACTTGAACGTGTGCGAACGTGGTGGTGAGTACGTAAACA